GCTGGCACCTCAGATCCAGCAGCCTTGGCCAGCTTGGGTCCGGATAGACCGTTACGGGTTTTCAGATCCTTTCCCTGCCCCTGCACGAGACACAGGCAGTACCTGCCCCAGAGCAATGTCTGCGCAGGGACCAGCCTAGCGGGGATGCAGTGGGAGCCGGGGGGGGGGTTGTTACACCAGAGGCCAGGAAACTCGGCCCCTTGTGGGTGGAGATTCTAACCTGCCTAGGACAATGGGCGGAGGAGGGCTGAGCGCTCAGGGGGGGCGGATGGTAGGGGCTGAATTCAGCGTCTCTTGGCATGAGGGAGAAGTGCTGTAGGGGGAGGCACTGGGGTCCCCAGCTGTGGCTTGGGAGTGATGGGCAGCTTCTCCCCTTCCTCCAGGTGGCTGCCGTGCTGACGCTGCCCTTCGACGTGGTGAAGACCCAGCGACAGATTGAGCTGGGGGACAGGGATACGCTCCGAGGTGAGGGGCTCATGGGGGGCCCGGCGGGAGCCCGGGCACGTGGGACTCTGAGCAGCCTCACGGCCCATCGCGGGGGGCTGGCTCCTGTCGCTGCCCAGAGGGGGAGCTGTGATTCTGCACACCGGGGCGGGGGGGAGCGGTGGCCCCTCTGGAGCAGACACCCAGTGTCCAGCTGCTGCTCATGCCTTGGGGGGAAGCATTGGAAGCGGGGGGCAGACCCTTCCCTAGGGTGAGTGGCGAGTTACCAGTCCCCCTCCCCCTCAGACCTCCGCTTTGCCTTCACCCCGCAGTGGCTGCCTCCAAGTCCTCGTCCACTTGGCTGCTGTTGCGAAGGATCCGAGCTGAGTCTGGCACCCGGGGGCTCTTCGCAGGTAACTAGGGCAGCCGGGCCGGCTGTAGGATGAGGGGTGGGGAGCGAGCGCGTTTCCAGGGGTGCCAGCTAGCGGGAGCGGGTAACGCTGCTCTCTCTGCCCCCCGCAGGCTTCCTGCCCCGCGTCATCAAGGTGGCCCCGGCCTGCGCCATCATGATCAGCACCTACGAGTTCGGCAAGACCTTCTTCCAGAAGCTGAACCAGGAGCGACGGCTCAGCAGCCTGTGAGCGCCAGGGCGGGCAGAGCCCCCGCAGCGTAGCCTCCAAACTAAGCACCCTGTGGGCCTGGGCCAGGCGGTGGAGGTGGGGGAGTTCCCCAGAGGTGGCAAGCGGGAGGTGACTGCAGAGATCAGTGCTGGGATTCAGCTGCCAAAGCCAGGGCCTTTCATTTCATCCAGCCTCCTTTCCTGGGGGCGACAGCGGCGGTTCTGCCTCCCTACCTCTCGGCTCCTGCTGAGATCCACTGGGAACAGACCTCCCTGCTAGCAACAGCTTCTTCCCCGACATGCCCTGGGCTGGGATATGCAACGTCCAAGTGCCTTCTAGTTTCGCTCTCTCCTTGGGTTTCCTGTATTCACCTCAGCAGGTTTCCCGGCTGCCTCCCCGGGGGCGAGCTAGAGAGGCTGTCAGAGCAGCGTGGGCACCACGGTGCTTCCCAGCTGAGAACGAACCGTCAGGCCTGTTTGCCTTTGACAACATCTCGCCTCCACCCTCCCTTCCCCACTGACACATTCATGGTTTGGAGGCTGCCTGCGCCGGCGGGGGGCCGCTCTCCAGCCTGTGAAGAGCCCCCCAGTGGTGGGTGCCCTGCTCCTGGCATCTGATTGCGCTGGCCCCTTGAGGGGGGCAGAAATAAGCTGTAGTGGGGGCGACGGAGTTGTCCTCTGGCGAACGCAGAGGGCCCCCTCCCTGCCCAGCCTGGTGGGGAGCAGGACAGCCCCTGGCATTCCAAGTGAGGGGATCCCCTGCCAAGGATCGAGGGCCTTTCTCTTCCAAAGACTTAGAGCGAGTGGGGCACGAAGGGCAACAGCCCCTCCTGCTCGGAGTCTCTCCACATCTGTTCCTGCTGCTGGCTGGGTTTAGCCCTGGGATTGGGTCCTAACCCACCTCATGCCCTCTCCGCACACCCCATTCCCTTAGGCCTCCTCCCTGCGGGGCAGCGATACAAAGGATAGTTGTACCCTGGACTCTAGGCCAGTCCCCCGCTAGGTAGCACCATGGCTTCTTCCACTCAGGACTTCCCCATTCCTGTCTGCCCCCTGGAAGGCAGAGCTCTGGGGCTCAGCCCCCCAGGTGGCCCATGCTCCGACAAGACCCCTTGCTGCTGGTAATGGAGACCACCCGCTGGGCCCCTCCAGGGCTCCCCTTCCTCCCTGTTGCTGACAAAGGTGTGAACTCTCCAGGGCAGAGATTCCATGCCAAAGCGCCCCCATCCTCTTAGGGTCAGTAGCCGGACACGTAGCCATCCTCCTTCCTGTGGGTAACGCGCGTGCCTGCGGCTGGTTGTAGAAGTGGGGATTCGTACCCACTTCCTTCAGTAAAAGACATTTTATGTGAAATTTGTGCCTGAAAACCCTTGTGCCCCGTCCCCCACCTTCCCCACCTGCCTGGTCTCCCTCCATCCCCTCAGCTGCTGGATGGGGGGCTATCCAGGTGCTGGCAAGGGGCTAGAATTTGGCCTCCTGCAATGAGCAGCCATTGATCTCCGCTGGGGAGAGCTTGTGTGCATCATGGTGTGATGGGAGGGGGGGTACTTCCTGTCAGTGTCTGTGCAGGGTGGGAATTGATTGGTTAATCTCTTGGCCCTTCATTAACCAAGGAGATCCCTGCTGGGGTCTCTGCACCCTGACTGTGCCCCAAAGAGGGGAACTCCAAAGCCCCCCCTGCCCCTCGCTCTCTCCTCATCTGAACATGGGGCCCAGAGAGCCCTTCCGCAAAGGCTGCGCTGTGGTGTTTGGGGACTGTCCCATCCAGCACCTCCTGTTTCCTGCTGCCATAATGTATGGGAGGTGGGTGTGTCCTGCAAGACAGCCCCACTCATGGGGGTGGTAATGCCATGCCCTTCCCTGCCTGTTCTTGGGAGGCCTGTTGCCCACCCTGCTCGCTGCATCTCTCCACCTGCGGGTTTTCAAGCTGTTGTGAGGAAATGGGGGGGGCTGAATAAACCAACACCCCACCCCTTGGTTCTCCATGGGGCAGTGCTTTCTACCTTCAGTGGATCAAGCCCTTCCTCTTTTCCAGGGCCAGAGTTGGATCAGTGCCTGCTTCCCCCAGCCTTGCCCTACCCTGGCTCCAGCCAAACGAGGTTCAGCAGCAAAGCTGTGATACTGACACACACACACCCTGTGGTGGGGTTCAGATCTGGAGGGGGCCACTAGGATGGGATTCAGGGGATCTTGGTTGTCATCTCAGCTCTGCCCCAGCCTCCCTGTGTGCCTCAGTTTCCCTGCTGTAGTCAGTGGGCTGATACCACCTGTCTTACATGAGAGACTGTGCCAATTACCTGATCGCTGGGAAGGGCCTTGAGACCCTGGAGTGGAAGGGGCTAGGCTGTGGGAGTGCTTGGCCGAAAAGCAGGATTCCCAAGCCCGGAGCTGGGCTGCTCTCTGCGCTTGGTGTTTTCCTGTTGTGTCCCCTGCTCAGTTGCAGATGCAGCATGGCTCCTTTTCAGCTGCTCCCCCCCCCCATCCCCCCCACCCCAGTCAGCTGGCACTGGGGAAGGTGGAGCAGTGAAGCCCCTAGCTTGCCCCATGGTTATCCCTGCGGTGCCTCGTCACTGGAGTCCTGCTCTGCCGCTCTGCTGTATCTACACGGACCCCCACCTCCATTACTTCCTGCCTGAGGTTAGAGTAATGCGAGGGGCTCCCCCCCCCGCCAGCCTGCAGGAATATGAGCACCTGCACACAGCAAGAGGAATCCTGGCTCTCTGCAAACCCCTTCCTCTCAGCAGCTCCCTCCTGGGCCCTGGCTAACAAAGGGGGGTGACGGTTGTCCCTCGCCTCTCCTTCCCCCCTTACCGGTACACTGTACCTGAGCCTCGCAGAGCCACCAGCAGGCAATTCCCTCGCCCCAGCTGCCTCCCAGAGCATCCTCCGCCGAAACGCCTCCTTTAGTCCCCCCAGCTGCGCTAGGAGGCAGACAAGCCAACCCCGCCCCTTGCAGGAATGCCATGGGCCCCCAGGCAGGAGCGTCCCCTCCATAAGGCTGGGGTGGATCAGAGAAAACCCCAGAGAGGGACGCTGGTTGGTGAAGCCCCTGACCTGACACGGAGAGCGCCTCAGCTCCTTGCCTTCAAGCACTGACGTGACCAGTGCCCAGGCCCGCAGGCCTCCCCCTTTGCTCCAGCGGCAGCATGGGCACCTCGCTCCGACGTGCCTGTAGCAGGCCCAGCGCTGTTTGCAGCCGGCGTCGGTGCAGAGCCAGGGCTGGCTGAGGTCTTTCAGTGTGGAGCCCAGAGGTGTAGCTCTAGGGATAGGTCTGAGGGCAGCTGCACCTGTACCTCCGCAGGGTGCTACAACACGACCCCCAAATGGCTGCTGCCTGCAAGGGCCCAACGGGAGAAGTCACAAGGAGCCTGGGGTGCACTGGCGCTCAGCACCGCTAGCTCCCATCGACTACCGGCCTTTGCGAGCAGCTGCACGGGGGCTCAGCGCTCTCTGAAAATCAGGCCGCAAGGCACCTTGCGCGGGGCTCCTAAAATCAGGGGCTGCATCTGAATGGCTTGGCTGTGATGGAGAGGGGCACGGTGCCTAGTGGCGGAGGAGCTGGGCACCCTTGCGCCAGGCTCGGCAGGTGGGTGCATGCGCCTACCTCCATGACCCCTGGGGCACCAGGTCATGACTCAAATTCTCACCGTAACGTCCCCCCGCAACTCCCTCGTTAGGGAGCCAGTTTCCATCAGCTGCAGGCGCCCCGGCGGGCCCGGGCTCATGGTGCCAGGGCATTTTGTGTGGGCGTTTAGCTCTATCTGCGATGACCGCCAGCTGGCCAAGAGCCCAGCGATTGAACCAGGCCCTGCAGAGCTCCAGGCCCAGGCTCTTAGCTTGAGCTAAAGAACGTGTCTATCTGGGGTTGTAAGAGACGCGTGTGTCTGCAGAGCAGGCACTGAGGGGCCCCGACAATGCACTGACCCCCCCGTCCTAGCCCCCCTCACTCCAAATCAGACCCAGTTCATATCTGCATTTATTGTCTGTTTGCTTCGACAGGGCCTGCCCCCAGCCGGGGCTAGAAAATGCCAGGGGGGCGCTGGGGCTCTTCTCCCCGTCAGAGGGTGCCCAACATGCCCCGGATGGGGGCGCTGGGGAGCGAGACACGCAGGGCAGCAGCAGGACATGGGTGGTGGAGGAGACGGAATCCCCTCCACCCACCGAGGCGGGGATAGTTGCTAGGCATGACGGGGCACGCAAAACCGGAGGAGGGAGCGGTTTGGGGGTCTCGCCTCCACGGGGCAGACAGCCCCTTGGGCTGCAAAGCCACTTTTCAAAGCATCCGGCCCCTGGCAGAAGGGCACAAGAGTCCAAGACTGTGGTGCAGGGCTGAGGGAAGCCCCACAATCCCCCTTCGGCTTCTCATGTGCCTAGGGGGCCATACAGTGTCCTGATGGGAGGAGGCATCTCGGCCCCAACCAGCTCGTTCCACAGCAGTGATAAACAGGGTGGGACACTGTCAAGGGCGTGCCCCAAGGGGAGGCCATGGTCATGTGACAGTGCCCCACCCCGCCTCCACTCTTCACCCTTTCCAGCCAAGCGAAAGCTCCGGATGCAGGATTTATGTCCTGGTCCCCCCCCAACTCCTCCCTCCTTTTTGCAATTTCAGTCAGGTGCAGGATCCTTCTTCACGCCCTGTCCTTCAGCTGCTGTGCAGCACGGCGGTTAAACGGCTGCCTCGGTCCACCCCAGAGGTGGCTGCTTTTCTGCAGTCAGGTGCAGTGCCCCGCTCTATGAGGCACATTTCACAAAGCACGTCGGGACCCTTCCGGCTCCGTACGAGCGTAAGATATGAAGTACTCGGTTAAGCGTCCCTCGGGAGGAATGGGGCCCACGTCTGTAAGGATGCAGCCAATCAGTCAGGGGTGGGGCTGGCTGCCCCAGACCCTCAAGAAGTTCAGTAAGGTCCATTTGCCTGTCGCATTGGTCCCGTTGGTTCGAGATGGTGGCGGCTCCTTGGTTCGCCTCTTGGCTCCCCGGTGGGAACCGCCGATCCCAGGACGAGTGGCGCCGCACAGCGTCTCAACTGGGGCTGTGGGCGGGGCTGGCTTCGTTGCTGTCACTCACCAGGCACTCGTTAGATTTCAGGCTGGCCAGGGACCTGCAGCTAGGGAGGGAGGCCAGGGAGCCGCAGAGCCCCAGCATGGACGGGGTGGGGTCCTTCCCTGGAGGGCAGAGGGGAATTGAAAGAGGGCAGGTCAGAGCAGGGACCCTGCCCAACCCAGGCCGTTCAAAAATCCCCGTGCGCTTTTCCTGGTGGAGAGGGGACAAGGTGCTAAGTGACTTGTCCAAAGTCCCACTGGAAGTCAGTAGCGGAGCCAGGACTAGGACCCAGGAGCCCCTATTCCCATACCAGTCTCCTGCTTTCTAGACCCCACTCCCTCTGAAAGCCAGGGAGCCCTCCCCCAAGGCCTGGCTCCCCGTTCCCCTGGCTCTAACCTCTACATCCTACAGGAACTGCCCCAAGCCAGATTCTTAGAGTCCAAGGCCAGAAGGGACCATTGCGATCACCTTGTCCGAGCTGCGTGACGCAGGCCGGAGATCTCCTCCCAAGGAATTCCGAGAGCAGAGGGTTTAGAACCACATCCAGTCTGGATTTAAGTATCACCCGGGATGGAGAATCCACCACCCCCCTCGGTAAGTTGTTCCAATGGATAATTACCCCAAACGTATGCCGTGTTTCCCGTCTAAATTGGTCCAGCTCCGTTGGGGCTGATCACCGCAGAATGCAGGCTGGGGGTTAGAGCAAGGAGCTGGGAGGCAGGATGCCTGGGTTCCACTTCCAGGTTCACCTCTAAATTCCCAGGCCTCTCGTACCAGCCCCTCCCCAGCCGTACTCTCTTGCAGACAGGTGCTAGGGTCTTCCTCCAACCCCAGGAGTCTACTAATAGATAACTTCTGCCTCCCAGCCCTCCCAAAGGCGGCTTGCCTTTCCACCCACCGACCCGCTCCCCGGGCCCGTGGGCTTACCCAATGGCCCCCAGGGCTCTCCTTCTTGCTTGCCCTCCCCCAGCCTCTGGGAATCCGAGCTCAGGCTGTTCTCCGCCGACAGCTGATCCGTGCTCATGAAGCTGTGCCTGCGAGAGACAGCGCCCTGTTACTCCCGGCCCGGAGGAGCCGGAGCAGCATTCAAAACCCTGCCGCCGGCGCATCCCCCCCGCAGGAGTTCCTGCTGCTGCTGGTGACCGCGTCAGAGGGCCTTTCAGTTCCCACCGCGCGCTGCAAATTCTCCTGCAGCCCTGTGCACTGGGGAGCCGGGTGGGCTAGGAGCCTCTGGAGTCCCTCCGGCCACAGGGGGTAAGTCACCGTAGTGCAGCTGGGCCCTATTGCCCAGTCTCTATTAACTAGGAGCGGAAGCACATCTGTCCAGAGGGTGAGATTATCAATCTCCCAACCCCACTGCTCCCAGCAAACAGCTCGCAGCCTGCCAGAGGCAAAGGCAACACACCGCCGGGGTGGGGAGGATGGGGAGTGCTGGAAGGGAGACATCCCGAGCTGGGTATCTTACCCTGTTCACCCCACATCTGTTCATCCAACCACACCTCTGTCTAGGCTCCTCCCTCCCTCTGTCTGACCCTCCATCCTTCCATCCATCTAGGCTTCTCCCTCCCTCTGTCTGACCTTCCATCCGTCTAGGCTCCTCCCTCCCTCTGTCTGACCCTCCATCCTTCCATCCGTCTAGGCTTCTCCCTCCCTCTGTCTGACCATCCATCCTTCCATCCGTCTAGGCTCCTCCCTCCCTCTGTCTGACCATCCGTCCTTCCATCCGTCTAGGCTT